GACCTGCGAGCAGGCCATTGGTAACGCGAAATTGTTTGCCGCAGCCATTACCGCGGCGGTGATCGACGCGCCCTGTTGCCACAGGGCTTTGCACAGACTTGGCACAGTACGGGCAGATGTATATGTGCAGTCGTGGCGGTGCTGTGTCAGGCCCGACAGCAAGCTGCTGGTTCGATGAGTGGGCAGTGTCCGTTTTGGGACCTTCTGCTCGCGTGGAAGTTTGTCTTGCTTCGTGTATTTCCTGAATTTCCTTGCGAACGTCCTCTAGGATTGCTGCGTGACGGTGGCGGGTTTCGCGTTGGCGCAAGCGGGCCAGGCGTTGATTCGTGCGGTGAGCAAGACGGCAAACGAAGGCAAAGGCTGTGCATGCGTTGCATACTTGTGTGCCGTCTTGAGTATATTCACGACCTTGTTGCCAAGCTGTAAACTCTGTTCGTGGCTTGCGTTCTGCGCACTGGCGACATTGCCAACAGCCGCGTGGTTTGGTGGCACATTCTCTGCAGCAGCGGCGATCCGCGTTGCGAGCTTTCCATGCGGCTGCGCCAAAGTCGGATTCTGCTTTCACAACGCCACACTTGAAACAAGGTTTCTTCACTTCACATGTCAAACACACACGAAAAAAACTACACTGCCGTTGACGATGCTTTGCTGGAAAATTGTCTTCGGCATGCCACAGCTTGCAAACGTTGCATTGCCACGGCGTAAGAAACAAGAAGCCAGGAAGCAACAAGCGGCTGGAAGACAGGTCAGAGAGCTAGTTTTCTTGTCGATTCAGAAAGCAACGGTAGGCAGGCGGCTGGAAGACAGGTCAGAGAGCTAGTTTTCTTGTCGATTCAGAAAGCAACGTTAGGCAGGCGGCTGGAAGACAGCTCAGAGAGCTAGTTTTCTTGTAGGTTGAAAAAGCAACGTTAGGCAGTGGGAGCCGTTGCCCGGAGGCTCGGTCCGTCCTTCAGGGCCCTGCTGTTTGGGCGTGGCGGAGGCGCCGTTTGTGAGCCTTGACGGCTGGAAGAGAGCTAGTTTGGGAGCCGTTGCCCGGAGGCTCGGTCCGTCCTTCAGGGCGCTGCTGTTTTGCTGTGGCGGAGGCGCCGTTTGTGAGCCTTGACGGCTGGAAGAGAGCTAGTTTGGGAGCCGTTGCCCGGAGGCTCGGTCCGTCCTTCAGGGCCCTGCTGTTTTGCTGTGGCGAGGGCACCGTTTGTCAGCCTTGACGGCTGGAAGAGAGCTAGTTTTCTTGTAGGTTCAGAAAGCAACGTTAGGCAGTGGGAGCCGTTGCGCGGAGGCTCGGTCCGTCTTTCAGGGCCCTGCTGTTTGGGCGTGGCGGAGGCGCCGTTTGTGAGCCTTGACGGCTGGAACAGAGCTAGTTTTCTTGTCGGTTCAGAAAGCAACGTTAGGCACTGGGAGCCGTTGCCCGGAGGCTCGGTCCGTCCTTCAGGGCCCTGCTGTTTTGCTGTGGCGGAGGCGCCGTTTGTGAGCCTTGACGGCTGGAAGAGAGCTAGTTTGGGAGCCGTTGCCCGGAGGCTCGGTCCGTCCTTCAGGGCCCTGCTGTTTTGCTGTGGCGAGGGCGCCGTTTGTGAGCCTTGACGGCTGGAAGAGGCTAGTTTTCTTGTAGGTTCAGAAAGCAACGTTAGGCAGTGGGAGCCGTTGCCCGGAGGCTCGGTCCGTCCTTCAGGGCCCTGCTGTTTGGGCGTGGCGGAGGCGCCGTTTCTGAGCTTGGAAAGCTGGAAGACGGCTACTTTTCTTGTAGGTTCAGAAAGCACTGTGGGGCATTGCCGTGCGGTGTGGCAACCTTAAGCTGGAAACGTCATCAGGTATGCACGCGCCACTGGTTGGTGCGACACTGCCGGCCGCTGGGATTGCGATGCGTTACCCGAATTCGGCCGGAAGCCAGTGTTGAGTGCACCACCGTGCCGCATGTTGGACATGCATGCGAATATGTGCGACCTGCGAGCAGGCCATTGGCAACGCGAAATTGTTTGCCGCAGCCATTACCGCGGCGGTGATCGACGCGCCCTGTTGCCACAGGGCTTTGCACAGACTTAGCACAGTACGGGCAGATGTATATGTGCAGTCGTGGCGGTGCTGTGTCAGGCCCGACAGCAAGCTGCTGGTTCGATGAGTGGGCAGTGTCCGTTTTGGGACCTTCTGCTCGCGTGGAAGTTTGTCTTGCTTCGTGTATTTCCTGAATTTCCTTGCGAATGTCCTCTAGGATTGCTGCGTGCCGGTGGCGGGTTTCGCGTTGGCGCAAGCGGGCCAGGCGTTGATTCGTGCGATGAGCAAGACGGCAAACGAAGGCAAAGGCTGTGCATGCGTTGCATACTTGTGTGCCGTTTTGAGTATATTCACGACCTTGTTGCCAAGCTGTAAACTCTGTTCGTGGCTTGCGTTCCGCGCACTGGCGACATTGCCAACAGCCGCGTAGTTTGGTGGCACATTCTCTGCAGCAGCGGCGATCCGCGTTGCGAGCTTTCCATGCGGCTGCGCCAAAGTCGGATTCTGCTTTCACAACGCCACACTTGAAACAAGGTTTCTTCACTTCACATGTCAAACACACACGAAAAAAACTACACTGCCGTTGACGATGCTTTGCTGGAAAATTGTCTTCGGCATGCCACAGCTTGCAAACGTTGCATTGCCACGGCGTTCCTGCGTCTGCGTAGTGCTTTGTGCATTCGCGACAGACGCGATCCTTGTCCTCGCGCTTCCATTGACCGGTCGTGAAGGCTGCTGCTGGCTTGCGTTCCGTACAGGTTGCACACCGACATTCTTCGCAGTATTTGGCCAACAACGATTGCCAGTTGATGAAATCCCCCCGAAGGTGTCGCAGAAGAAGGTCTCGGCCCAAACCAATTCCCTTTTGGAATGGAGCGGCGTCAAAAGGTCGAAAAATCAACAATTTTTCGCGTCCTGTGACGCGAGTGATCGCGACATAGACCGTGAAGGGATTTCCTGTGGGACCTATACAAAGATCCGTCATCACCCCCTCTTTGATGGTCTGTCCTTGCGCCACATGCGCGGTGATGGCGAACTGGGGTGCGAGCGGGAATTGCGTCCGCGATACACGCAGCTTGGGGCGTTGGCGTTGCCGGTCTAAGTACCACACACGCCTGCAAGTTCCGACGGGGTATACGTTTGCATCCGGCAGACCTGGCACATGCCATGAGGTTGCGGTTTCAAACCTCACATACACCACGGCCGGCAAAGTGTTGCACACGACTCCTTCCGGCGCAGGCGTCTCATTGGCAATCGTGGACCAACCGACGACGTAGCCCTTGGTGCCTTTTAGAATGCCACGCTTCCGGTCGAGGTGATCTGTTGCACGGACAGGCATGCCGACGCACAACGGCAACACGCCGTACAGTCCACCGCACTCTTTGTCGTGTCGCTGCAACCATTGCAATTTCTCCGTCGTCAAATTCGGCTTCTCCTGCACGACCACAGACGACGCAACATCTTGCGCAACAAATAAATACGGTTGCTTGTCTCTGGCATTCGCCCACTGTATGGCGCGAAGCTTGTTCACGTGGTATTTGATGTCGTTGGTGCCGAAAATCGCGACCGCATCTGCAAATTCCTTCTGGAACCGTGTGTCCGCAGCTCCTTGCGCCACAAGTATGCGCGAACGGCGATCAGCCGCACAGTAGCTGCATTCGGCCTCTTGTATGGCTTCTGGAATTAGGCCTTGTGTAGGCAACGCGGCGCAACTTGGTTGTTGGCACGTCGCCTGCCCAGCAATCCAGCTGCCTGGCACTGTGGTAGGCCGCCCGTGCAGAAAGCGATGGTTATTGTCGGACAAGTCACCATGGCGCAGTTGCGTTTGCACCTCTGCGAGCCATGCGTCTTGTGTACGCTCACAGCGCACCAGTTCCGTGACTCCTTGCATCCCTGCTGCTGCCTCACCCCAGAGAAGCGTTTGACCGTGATGTCCAGGTGCTTGCCTCGTGCTTTTCCGTCCGGCCAGCAGATCCCAGGGGATGTCCGCTAAGAACGTTCCTTTTGGAGGTGGTAGCTGGTACACATCGCCGGCCAAAATGACGTTCAATCCGCCAAACGGTCGGATTTTGCCATTGCCATCATACTTGGCCAAGCTGAGATCCCGCATGAGCTCGCGACAGCGAAGTTCCAACTGCGCCAGCAACTCCGCGCTCACCATGCTAAATTCATCCAAGATTAGCCATCGCCATTGCAAGCTGCGACCTGCGCATTCCATGGACCGTGCCAAGCTCTGAGTTCTGTCGCCCGACCAGTCCAAGCCCAGCGCGTGGTGTATTGTGTCGCCGTCCAGAAGTTCAGCCATAACAGCTTGAAAACTGACTATCTGGAAGTCAACGCCATGGTGCCAGCCTAGCACGTTTTCGAACAAATCCTGCCGCAGAAATTTTAATGTGTGAGACTTTCCTGTTCCAGGACCACCGTGTAAGACCCAACGAAGCGGTTCTGAAGCCACAAGGCCAGATCCCGTGGCGGAAGCGCCGGCTGCCAGTTCGGTTTCCACGCGTGCGGCGACTAGCTCGCAAAAAGCTCGCTGCTCCGGGTTGCACGGTGCATGCGACAAGGCAGCGGCCCACGTTCGCACAGCCGCAGCGGATGCTTGACACGGGTGCACTGTCACAGAACTGGGTTCGGGTGAAGCAACTGCGGGTCCGGCGTTGAATCGTTTCCGGGCAGCTTGCTGCATGGCTTTCAGATCCAAAGCACTGTATGGTGTGCTTGCACCAGAGTCACCAGAGCTTCTCTGCGGTCGCGCCGGTGCCTGCCAAAGTTGATCTGCTGTGTTCATGGCCGATTCGCTTCGGATTGCCCGGTCGTCGTTTGCGGCTTTGCTGCTGCTCGCTTTCTGCGCCGGGAACTGTGTGCGGAGTGCTGCCGCCACATAGGCTGGACACAATGTAAACGGTTCGTCCACACCATCGTCATCGCTGTTAGCGTCTGCTTCCGCGCTGGGCCGGACACGATATACCGACAAGAAATTACCCACGTGGCGCTTTGTTTCGGCGCAAGGCAACCGAAGCAGCCACTCTCGCAGAGCATCTTCCCACGTCTCATTGGATCCCAACAACTGACTTAGGTGAGGGACTTGTGATGTGGCCCGCGTCAGGTCTAAGGTCCAGGCTCGAAAATAAAGGCACGTCAATCGGGCGTTGCGATCCGCCGCATCAGCCCAGCGCTGTGGTACCGGAGCATTCGCGAAATGAGGACACCGTGGGCGCACACGGCGCTGCAAATACCAGTTGTGTCGAAGCACTGCAGTGGCCGCAGCGGATGCGAAATAAACGCGGTCGCGGGAACGCAGGACTTTCAAGCGGTAATCTGTGCTCGGCTTCAATTTGGCAGCGGTGTGCAGCGGGCTTTGCAACAATTTTTGTTCCCCGACCGGGGTAAGTGCTACATCCCAGGCGTCGGGACTAGCTGCCTCCCATTCGGCGCGGGAATGCGGAATGCGCGCTGGAACCAACTCCCAGTGCATGGTGAACTCGTATGGGGACAGCCACCAGCACTCGGAGTCCGACGGCCGATGACTATATGCTTGTCCAGTCACCGCTTCCCGCACATGCTGCGCTCCGGATCCTGGTGCCTTCCGCGTTCGAACATATGCTATTTTGGTCCCGGTCTCTTTTCCTTCCAACCTTTCCAGTAGCTGTAAATAAACGTGTCCAGGAAACACGGTGAAGTTGCACGAGGACACACGTTCCGCGGCTACAATCGAGCCATCGATGTGGTTGGCACGCAGATTACAACATTCTACTTGGCCGCGCACCAGGCCTTTGCAGTAGGCATCACTCAAAAAACGGTTTGCATGTCTTTTGCCAATGTGGTCCACGTCCGCGTGCTTCAATGATGCATGTAAAGCGATGTGCCCTTTCTGAAATTCTTTGATCTCGTGGAATCCCATGGGCTGATTTTTGGAACAATAATCACTGCAATAACCTGTTTGCGCATCCTGGGCACGCTGAGCTGCTAAGGCTATTAGCTGTTTCTCTTTGCTCGACAGCGAGTCGCCACACGTTGTACACGCGTACGGCAACCTGTATGGTACTTGGACATCATTGTTCCCACCACGCATTGCGGCTAAAAGTGCTGGATGACAAGGATTCAAGTACGGATGTCCGTAGGGACCATGCAGAGCTCCCAAACGATTTTTGCGACCCGTTAGACTGAAGCCATGAATTTGAAGCTGGCATGGGCAAAGGACTTTCGCACATTCGGACAGCCACTGATCGCGTGGAAAGTCTGCTTTGCATACACCCATGTTCTCTTTCTTCTGGCAGCCTCGCAAAGGCATGCGCTCGCCAGTTTCCGCGTTCAGCGGGTGGTAATGATGCTGCTTGAGATATTGTAACTTGACGACATCATGCTCGAGATATTCTTGCCCCCACAGTTCGGCTTCGGTCGGATCTTTGGCTTCCTGCGCCCGTCGCTGCTGATATCTTGGCGTTGTTGTCATGTGCGTGTCCAGCATGTGCTCGGGCCATGTACTTTCCGCTGTTTCTATGCCTTCCTTAATGCTGTCCGTGCCTTGGCCGCTGTAGACAGCATGGGCAACGTGCGCTTGATACTTGCAGTACTCTTGTCGCAAAGCATGTAATCGCCACTGCGGCAGCTGGAAAATTTCTGTTAGCGGCGTGTGTTGGTGCAAGCATTGAACAAAACATTGCATGTGCCCATGCAAAGATCCAGTTGACTTTTGTGCTTCAATTGTGACGTATATGGCATCGACCCGTCCAAAGGCGCCACCTGAGAGGGTCGCGTTGCTGCCAGACGTGTCGCTGCATGGGGTTGCAGTCATGTCACAGTCGGGGCAGCACTCACACAATCGCACGCCAAAGATGTGACGACAGAGTAACCGCAGGAGAACGTGAAAACCATCAACAGACGCCAAGGGATCACGAGCCAACAAGGCACGGCGCTGCTCCCAGGAAGGGAGCGCGCGACAGAAGTTTTCGAGATGGATTGGGAAGCAAAGGTCGCCATCGAGCGATGGGAACTGCCGATCTCCTGAACACCACTCCTGCCAGACCGAGGTGCTGCGCACTGGATCGGATGCGCGTGTTCGCGACATGCGAATGAAGAGCCACTGGTGCGCCTCATCGGGCGACACGGTGATGAACAACGGCACGCCGTAGCGGACCCGCATCGCTTCAATTTCAAAGCGCATTTGGCGTCTTGCTTCTTGCGTTCCTGGCAAGCTGCGGGCCGTCTGTTTCATATTTTTCAACAGCTTGCGCGCGGCGGGGCGCAGATTCCGAACATATAACAACTTGGAGATATCGCCATTCACGGGTCGAAGGTTCCCACGGACATCCGCATACGTTCCACTCAATGCATTCAGTAATTGCAAGGCACCAGCTTCAACTTCTTCGGCACGCAGTGCGCGAAATTTTTGTTCGGCTTCATCAAAGATTGGCGCGTTGTATGGGGACAGATTCCGAGACAAATTGATTGCCGACCGGAAATACAAATTCCAGGTCGTGAATCCAAATGTCCAATCCCGATTGATTTGCGATTCGCAACGCTGGGCCATGCAACGCATCCAGGTTGAGAACTCGACGCGCAAAGCATCCGGTGGGCGCCGGTGCCGAAGTTTGGGGCTCCAGCTTGGCAGATCCGGCATTCCACTCCCATACGGGAAGAGAAAAGCAAAGGCAAACGCAAAATACCACGGTTCGAATTGATCCAACAAACGGTTGCCAGTGTAAACCATCGCGGTGGTGGTTTCAGCTTTGCACGCCTCAGCTGTCCCCACCGCCGCCTGCAAGGCTGCCACGTGTGTTGCATTAGGATCAGCGAAGCCGCCGCTCGTGCGCTCGCTCACTACAGCGTTCGGCTTGCACATGTGCGCAAACTCGGCCTGCACGTCTGCTTCCGACAACATGGCCCGCGTTGGCGTCGCGGCTTTTTGGCGCTGCACGTTATCCAAGTCGTGTCATGAGGCAACCAAGCGACGATCTCTGCTGGTACACCATCCTCTGGCAGCTGTTCGGCGCGCTGCACTACTTCGTTCATGCGAAGGCTGTTGTAGGCTGGATGTTCCCGGGCCTTCGCATCGGCGATCAGCTGCAGCACGACGGCCCGTCGCACGCGAGCTTGGTGAATGATCTTTGCGGCGTCATCGCGTTCCGACAGTGGTCCTCCTGCTTTGATGATTACATTGATTACCGCAGCCAGTTCGACCCCAACCTTTGGTAAGCGTATTTCTCCGGCAGATGCTTCCCTAGATGCTACTTGCAAGTTTTGCAATAACTCTTCCCACGCTAATGGGAAGGTTGTGGCATTCCCTCGGGCAACCAAACGGTTCCGATTCATGAACGCATCTTGATCCAATGCCCGGTCACCTAACAACTTCTTCTCCAAACTGAAGCAAGCCATGGCTGTAAAACACGGGCTGGCGCATACTAATTCCATGAAAGTGACTTCTTCCTTGTAAATCAGGCGGGGCGTATAAAAAACCAACATGTCGTTCGCTAACGCCAGCCTGGACGCTTGTTTTGCGCGCAAGCTGTCCCAGCAACGCATGCATACTGGCGCCTGGCACGCCGAGCAAATCCGACCAGGTGGGCAGCGCTTTGCACAGAATTTGTCTTCAGGACAGCATATTATCGACAAATTTTGCCCATCAAGTTCGACGTCAGCGCACCAGTCTTGCAACTCGGTTCGCAAGCGTTCTCGGACTGTTTTCCCGTGCTGCATGGCATAGGTGCTCCAATACGTGTCTAAACCCAGCCATCGTTTCGTTTCTTCCAGAGACAGGCCAAGAAAGTGGGACTTCCCCGCCAATTGTTTCCATTGTATGCAATCCCCCTCGCCCATGGCGTCGGCATACGGAAACCGGCGTGCGCAAAGTAAACAGATGCCGGCCCCGATCTTGTCACCGCTCTGCGAGTTGCGATACTGCCGCAGACAGCGCCTATCAATGGCAATGTGAGCCGTCGGGGCATCTTGCTGGCATGCCCACGTTAAACCTGCTCCGTATGCTTCCAACAGCTTTGCCTTGGCTGCTTGTTTGAATGCCAAAGGTTCCAGTGCGCGGCGATGTTCCTGGCAAATATGGTCTTCAAACGCTTCCGCTAGGTCCGATGTAAAATTACATCCCTCGAAAGAACAAATGTAATCAGGCAAATCGAAAGCCGCATCTCGCGGTGCGATCGCCATCCAATGTGGCAACGTGGGTTTCTTCCGAAACTGTTTTCCCAGCGCTTCTAACACCATGTCACTGTGGGCTCGTGGGTCGGGGTTTCCGTGCGTAGCGTGCCATGCCCGTAAAATAAACTCATCCAGCGCCAGGGCGCAGTCCGATGCATCATCTCCTTTGACATCGTTCCTTGCTAGACTTTGTTCGGGCGCCGGCTGTTTTCCGCGTAACCTTTTCCGAGGCGAACTCACGGCCCCAGCCAGCGGCCTCTTGGCTGCTGGTTTCCCTGCGGCGCTGCTTGAATCCTTGCCCGTAGGGTCTTTTTCCGATGGTTTCTGCCGATTGCTTGCCACATCGTCGTCCACTTCCATGGCTTCCAACTCCGCGGCCGGTTCCACTTGCTTCTTCCCACCCCTTCCGCTCATCGCCTCGCCTAATCTTTGCCCGGGGCCTTGTGTGCATGTTGCGTAGTGCGCGCGCCATTGCCCCAGCAAGCGTCGCGCAGCATGCATGCCCGCATCCATGTACATCGTGTTCGCCTGCAATAGCATATGCAGTTTTACCGTGCATTTCTCCGCGTCATCCCAAGCTTCCATGATGTCGCGAGCGTCTTGCATGTTGACGCTGATGCCAGCACCGCGCAAACGGAAAAAACTATCCAAGGCCAGATGCACCCGTTGCAACTCCATGCTGGGCGGTCTGTGGCCTCGGTCTTCGTGCCTTGCTCCTTCATCTTCGCTCGTGTGCCCTTCGCTTCCTCTTGCGCATGCTTCTTTTTGGTTCCCAATCTGTGCCACAACACCAACCAACGCGTCAAAATGATAGCCTCTTCCCGTTGGATCGGTGTGATTGTATACATGCAACGTCTGCCGTTCATACACGACGCGGTCACCCCAGGTGAAATCCACGTGCGACAACTCTGCACTTGCCATGCCCAACTCTCCGTGATCCATGCAATCGTAAAAACAAACTCGAACCGAAATATCAAGGCTCCACAGTCGTCGCACGAAGAAATCGAGGATACGTGGTGTGTCCCGGTGACCGTCCAGGTACACACCAGGCGGAACCCCGTGTCGCGTACGCAAGTCTTCTCGACATGTGGCACATAGTGCTTTGCGTTCGGCCATGGTGTAATCTTGTGGAGTTAAGCCTTTGTGCATGAGGCACAGCAGAAGTGAATCGATGAGGCAGTTATTGACGCCATGCGGCGATGCAACTTTGAGGTGCAAACCGTGAGCAGTCAATTGCTGCAGCCGACATGCATTGGTCATCATTTTTAGCGGCACATTGACGCCAGCGATCTGCAGCAAACGCTCTGCGACGTTCATGGCAACAGTATCCGACCCATCCGCCTTTAACTCTTCCCAGCCATGCCAGGTCTCCACCCAAGATTGGTTCAGCACTGCAGTGACACGCTTTTCGTCTTGCAGCACCGACAAGCAGATTGCAGCTACGAGTTCTTTGGCTTCTGGTGGCGGGCCACCCCCGCAGAATCGCTTCGGCAAACGTTGGATGGGCAGAGCGACACTGCACGCTAGCAGTCCGCGACCTAGACATACACCATCGCCCACACTATCACTGCCGCTTTTGGCCCCGCTTGCAGCAGCAACGTCCATAGCAACAACAACAACAACAACAGCAGCAGCAGCAACAGCAACAGCAACAGCAACAAGAACAACAACAGCAGCAACAACAACAACAACAACAGCAACAGCGACAGCGACAGCAACGGCCACAGCAAGAACAACAGCAGCAGCAACAACATCAACAAGAAGAAAAAGGAGAAAAGGAAGACGAAGAAGAACAACAACACGAACAACAGCGCCAGCAAGAAAAACAGCAACAGCAGCAACCACACCAAGCATCGCAATGGTAGCAACCACAACGAGAACAGCAATACCAGCTATGTTGACCGCGGCACTAGCGTTGACCGCAACGCGAATACCAGCAACAAAAGGCAGACTGCAAGCCAGCGCGCTCATCCAACAGCGACACAGCGTTGACGGCTGGAAGAGAGCTAGTTTTCTTGTAGCTTCAGAAAGCAACGTTAGTAACGTTAAGCAGTGGGAGCCGTTGCCCGGAGGCTCGGTCCGTCCTTCAGGGCCCTGCTGTTTTGCTGTGGCGAGGGTGCCGTTTGTGAGCCGTGACGGCTGGAAGAGAGCTAGTTTTCTTGTAGGTTCAGAAAGCAACGTTAGGCAGTGGGAGCCGTTGCCCGGAGGCTCGGTCCGTCCTTCAGGGCCCTGCTGTTTTGCTCAATGGGAGATATGCCCAGGGGTCGGCGGCAGGGGGCGGAGCCCTTTAATAAACCTCAGGGCCTCAGGGCTGCTTAATTGGGGGGATTTAATCCCTGCAGTTTTGCTGGGTGCAACCCCCCTGAATTAGTAACAAAACATATTAACTTTTTGGCGAGGGCAAACTTTCCTAAATCGATTTTAAAGTCAACATCATTCCACAATATGTACGACTTTATAATTAGGTTATGTTCCCATGGATAGTTCATATTGTTTATATGCCAAAAAAGCATCTATTTGTGTTTTTTTAATTCCCATTCTTCGGGTGGAGGGATTCGATTCATCGATGATGTTTGTGGTTGGGAAACTCCACTCCTTCCATTCACCACTAGATCGACGTTTCATGACGTTTCGATATGGAGGCCCCCAAATCATCTACCCTCTGGTAAATACCCCATAGAAATCATTGATTTACCCATTGAAAATGGTGATGTTCAATAGCTATGTAACAAATTACCATATGGATCCAGAGGGTATTTGTTCCCGGATCCATGATTTTCCCATGGAAATACACCTGGCCAGCTATCTGACTCAGCGGGGGTACCCCCGTCGAGTCATCGCCGTCACCGTCCAAGGCCGATGCCTGCGGTCGTTTCTCCAGCAGCAGCTTCGCCAGCTGGTTGGTTCGCTCGGCATCCTGGCGCCATCTTTTTCCGAAACGGATCCTCCCCATAAGCTACGAGGTATCTATACTTAATGGGGTTTATAAACTATGGTTTATGGTATAGATGTATCTATAGTATTCATGGATCATATATTTATATAATACTTTTGGTATATGATATATGATGGTTTATGGTAGACCCATATTAGCAAACCATGGTGCTGGTATATTTACCATCTGGTTATGACTAACAGTTCGCCATGGTATAGATGGCCCATAGAAACAGATTGTTTACCTATTAAACATGGTGATTTTCCATAGCTATGTAACAAATAACCAGATGGTACCTACAAAACTGGGTGATTTTTTAGGGGCAAATGTTGGTTTTGATATTCCAGCACCACGGTCTTCGCTAATATGGGCTCCAAAGAAGTTGCAAGATCGTGCCTTGAGGTCATCCCACAGCTCGTAAATTCATGGATGGAAATAACAAAAGCCCAGTGGTTTACATGGGAGAAGTCGGGTAATCCACTTCTAGGGGTGAACTAACCCACTTACGAGCCGTGGGATGAGCCACCAAGTGGGATAGAAAATGGGTAAGGAAGAAAGATAACGATGACATGTGGAATCCCGATCTATTTCGAATCCCGATTTATTTTGGTGAATTTGATACACGTTAATTATGCGATATTTGACGGGAAAATCATCCACAACTTGGAATGTTTTATGGAGATATTTACTGGGATATAAGCAACAAATTAGATGATATTTGAATGCGTCTCACAATGAGAGATACGCGAACAATTGCTATTTTGATAGGAAAAACGTGGAAAAACAATAGTTCATTATTCCATGTCCATCCATTTCCCGTAAAACAACAAAGTGTGATCCTGGAGCAGAAACTCTGATGCTATGGAGACCTGAAACAGCGATACCATCAACCAGTGCTCACTTTCTCAGTATCCAATCATCCCCAAAAAGCGGCTCAAATATCTCCAGCTCAAGCTATGTTTGGTATCTGAAAATTAATTAGGTGAACAAAGACGTTTGATTGTTTTCCCATTTTGTTGATGGTCTATCATCAATATCCCTATTATAATTGTGATAAAATATTGTAATTTTGGTTGGGTATATCGCGATTTACCGTTGCTAAGGCATGATACTTCATGCAAACGCAGCCCCTTCTTGGTCCCTGACCCTGGAGTCAGAAAGTTGACCTTTTCAAGGCTTACGTCTCAATGGGTTTTTTCAGGGAAACTCTTGTTCACGAAACCACGGAATTCATCATCAATATGCTATCTGGTTGGTGGTATACCTACCCCCGTGCAAAATATGAGTTCGTCAGTTGGGATGATGAACTTCCCAATATGATGGGAAAGTCATATAATTCCATGGTTCCAGTCACCACCCATCAGTCAATGGGCTTTCTTGAAAAGCATGGGCTTGTCAACTTCCCACTCTCGTTGAGAGCGCCACGCGAAATTCCTTCGAATTTCCGTCGCAAATCTTCGAAGTCCCAGCGCCTGGCCTCCAATGGCTCTTTGCCCACTTTGAACTTGGCCACCAGCGCGGTATCCGCGGCCAGATCTTCATCCCGCGCCAGCAGGCTGTTGATACCTCGGAATTTCAACATGGAAAGGATGTCACACGATGAAAAACCAAGGATTTAGCGACAAACCAAGGGGAAAACCAGTTATGTTTGTTGCTTTGTAAAGCTGAATACTAGTTCGTTATATGTATCATAAACCGTCATAAACCAAGAAAAAAACTATCGTTGTTGGAGTTATGTGCACCAACTTTGCCATCTTGGGGGCCACATTTTAGCAGCTGGAAACATGGGACGATATGGGATGAACATGTGGTAGTAGATGGTAAGTAGGACAGTGGAGACAACCAGCCCATATCCAATTTTTAGAGGATGACAATGACAGTTGGAGCGGTTTTCCAATGAAACATCCAAAGCTATTTGAAACAAAATGAAAACACAAACCAAACCTATGTTCTCAGCCACCATGAAAATCATCGCAGCATCCGAACTCGCGAACTCTGGGCTTCAGAACTCACATCTGAACGCTGCGGCCTGTCAGGGCCAACGAGCAAACACCATTGCATCATATCGCACCCCCCAAACCCAACTGGTTGGTGGTTTTGACCATCTTGAAAAATATGAGTTCGTCAATGGGAAGGATTATCCCATATATATATATATATTACGGAAAATAAAAGTCATGTTTGAAACCACCAACCAGCCAAATGCAGATGTATCCCTCCATTGTCCATACTGCTTGGTTGGTATGAACATTTCCCTTGGAATGTGTTTAGTATATCGCAATCCCAATGAAATCAAGCGTGAATGTCCTATAGTATAACAATGCCAGCGTCACCCCTTTGCAGCGGTCCCCTTTGCTACACATGTTCATGGAGGACATGAAAACCAACGATGTCCAATGGGAATAGGGATTCTGAGCGAGTCCCGAGGGAGGATCTGTGCTCAAACATAAAACTTAACACCACCCACCTCAGATACACTCTAATTCTTTCACATACCTATGAAAAATGTTTATTTATAGACGAATTATATCATCATATACCTATTAACAATGATGCTTTTCCATAGCTTAAATTACCAGAGGGTACCCTTTTTGAAAACCCATAGATTTCGGGCGGACATGGAAATTTCCAATTTTGTTAAACATGGCCGGTGGATCGAAGGATCAAATTGTCAAACAATGATGAGCCAACTGCAACTAGTACCACAGCCCCAATCTGAAGCCAGTCTTATTGGGCTTACTTGTGCTTACTTCATCTAAAAAATCAAGCAGGTCTACTTTCTAGTTCATTCCTATTAATCTCATGGCTCTTCATAACTTCATAAAGCACCCCAAAGGATGGGAGTTCGGTACATGAACAAATCCACACCCCACCAGCGGTTTGTTCATGGCCGCTTTCTTCTAGGGGGAAGGGATGGTATCCCCTAAATCTCAACATGGGGTATTGTCTGGTAAACATACAAAAAACGATGGAAAATCACCATGTTTAATGGGAAAATCAACTATTTCTATGGCCATTTTCAATAGCAAACTGTTAGTTTACCAGAGGGTATTGTCTGAATATATCCCAATACATCCCAATACATCCCACTTGGAGATTAGGGATGGAAATAAATCAAATTTTGAAAGCATGGTAGCATGTTTCATCTTAGATGCCCATGTGCATTTCAATAAAGGTTATTGCAGATATCATGTTCCCCCCTTCACCAGGGCCCAGAAACCGCCCCCAAGAGCTCCCATTTCATCCGAAACCATGGTGGCATGCTATTTTTTTTGGATAAATGGTTCATGATCACCATATTACCCGGCCTGGTAAACATACAAAAAACTATGGAAAATCACAATTTTTCATGGGAAAATCAACTATTTCTATGGCCATGTTCAATAGCTATTTGTTAAATAACCAGAGGGTATCAGCATCGAATTCACCATCCTTAAGCATGATTATCCCAAAAAAACATCCATGAAAACCATGATTATCCCATTCAATCACCATTTGTTGATGGTTAAAAAATTGTTAAAACCCCTATGAATGTGCTGGATTGGTTTGAGGAATAGAAAACAAAACAATCACCATCGCCAATGCAAATATATATTTTGTTCCATGACTTATATCCCATTAAATCACCATGATGCTGAATATTACCCTCTGGTAAACTAACATAACTATGGAAAATCACCATGTTTAATAGGTAAATCAACTATAAATGGGCCATTTTCCATAGCTATGTTAAATGACCAGAGGGTAAAGCCTATATCAATCACCATCATCCCCCAGTTTGTTTCCCCGCCAACCTCCGCCAACCTTCGGGTGCTCGCCGTAAGAGGTGGAGCAAGGCCTCAGCGTTCTTGCTGTCCAGGAGTTAAAAATGGTGGCCCGTAATATGATAATGTGAAAATAATGTTACATACATATATACTAATAGATATAATTGATAATACTAATGTTGAATAATGTTGATACACAATATATATATATATATATATATCAATGTTGATGATTTATCTATATATATATAATTGATATCATTAAGTTAATAATCGATGATAAGTAACATGATAACATTGATATGGCCATGAATATAGTAGATTGGTAATGTTGTAGTAAACTAAGGTATTAGATCATGTTAATTATAGTGTGATATTACCTCACCAATTTATATTTAATGTGATGATTATATGTTGAAAATGTCTATGATATGTGACAATGCTGACAATGTTATGATATAATGCATCACCAATGATATGGATAGTCAAAAGCAATTTTGACAGTTGATATCGATATGTATGGATATTAAACAGCCATTTTGATAGTGAATACTTATATATATATATAAATGATTAAAAGGTGTAAATCAATATTCACTAGTATAACTGATATTTCAAAGGATATTCAAAATGGCTTTCAATTTCAACGGCTATTTCAATGACTGTACATTAATGATACAATATTATAGAATGGCCCGGCCTTAATAGCCATTTTAACAGTGGATCTGTTATAAATGAAAAGTCACATCATTTCAATTGAATAGTTTAACAAAACATGTTCACATTGTATATATAGGATATAATTGATATTATAGTTTGGCTACACATTGACAGGAAACTGTTTTCCCCCAGCAATGTGTCTGAATATTAAATGTTGCTCTTTGTTGGAACAATCATACATAATTAATGTTGATAAAACCAACATAGACATTGGAATTAATGGGGATTAATGGGGGCTTAACCAAAAAAATAAAGGCGATTGGGGATATGCTATGGGAATCCTTATGATGAGTCCATCCCCATTAATGGCAATAAATTCATTGGGTCCGCGCCCGCACGCGCGCATAAAAAGAAGCTTATTTTGGGGCACTTACGGGCGTGCGGGCGCGGACCCAATGAATAAAAAGAACAAAAGTTTAAAGTAAAGTGTATTCATGGGCTAACTAAGTTAACTCCCTATCAAAATCGATTGAGCATTCCCATCCCCCAATATGCATGGGAAAGTAAGCCATATTTGGACCCTGACACATTTGGACCGGCCGAATTCCTCCATCCCCTTGGGAGTCCGTGGCCATTTCAAGTCCTGCTCTCACCGATGGTAAGAGGTTGCCTGTCGAACTCAGTCACGAAATGGAACAATCTTACAATGTGAGCCCCCCTTTTGGATAGCTAAGTTTGTTTAGTTCACTAGAAATAAAACAAAAATATATAGGGTTTATGGAGGATATATCAAACTACTCTGATGGGGGGGATACACTCACCCATAGCTAGGGAAGCCCACTATGTAATCCAGAATGGTCAACCCCTGGATGTGGGGATCATAGATCATCCCATGCAGTGCCCTAGAGACAAAAAAAGAAAGGTGATTTAAATCACCAGGAACCCAACATTTATGAGCCATTCAATGGAGCTTTCCTAAGTCATGCTGGTACCCCTTTAGCTCGCTGGTTGCTTTAGGTTGGTTTATACTGTGAAAGGAAAACCTCCATATTTTATGGTGGTTTCTGAAGGAAACTTTCATATTTTATGGTTTATATTAGGTCTATATAGGGGTAGCCTCATTTCGCAAAACCTCCATATTTTATGGTGGTTTCGCTTCAGCGGGGTTCCAAAGTCACCATTTTCTTGTTGAAAAAGACTATAGTTTGGTCATCAGTGACGACTGGATGATGACTGGGGATAGCCCCATGACTTAGGAAACCTCCATTTTTTCGTGGTTTTGTATCACCATGTCTGCTTATCTGAAACCATCCAGAAAAGATGGAAAAAGGGGAAAGCATACTGAAAGACACCAGCTTGATGGTTCTGTCACAACTTTTGTCGTACACCTCCCAATGACACTGTTCAGCAGAATTGGCAGTAGATTTTCCATGTTACAGGGTAAAATAACTCCCTACTCCCAGTTAAAAATCGTGTTCGAACCCACGTTCACTAGTTCAATATATAACTATAACCCCCTAATCAACCCTAGTTCTTGGAGTTATAAACCAGCGATTTACCCTGGGGCTAAACGTTTAGATGTTGAGTAGCCATGGCTTCCCTAGGAAAATCATCTACGCAGCGCCCCGCTCGGAACGCCTGTACACTGCTGGTCCAACCACTTGGTCAAAGTACCATCCAATCGACCAAGGTCGAATGGCACCTGAAGGCATTTCCATGGGGATCTTACTTAGATGGGCCATGGGAAAAACGCGATTCCTGGTTAGTAACTGGGGATTTGTTACCCCTATATCCCAATTAGTTTATCCATCTACTAACCAGTTAACAAAAACTCCATGGCCCATCTAGACCATTTTACTGGGTCTAAACCATGAATAAGCACTTCACCACTTCAACGTCACTGTATAAAGTATAAATCCTGGTTGAAAAGTTTGATTGAAGTACTTAGATCGGCCATGGATGGCCATGGTTAGTTAGTTTCACTACTTCGTAAATGGATTATAAGATTCGGATATCATACATGCTCCATGTATGGAATATTTACCTACATTTACCCCAAAAATAATGTAGGTAAATATTCCATACATGGAGCATCTGGGATATGGTGGTTTGTGAGACCCAGTTCCGAACCAGGAATCGCTCACTTTTCCCCGTGGCCCATCTAGATACGGGTATACCAGTAATGTATCATGATGGATAAAATGGACTATCTCACCGGGAATGTGGACCTGAACATGTGCCTACACCCATAAATATTGCGATTAGATTACTATAGGCGAAATCAATGAAAATCATGATAAACTTCAAAAATTGGGGCTTGTCCATGCTTTTCCCCTAATTTGTCATACAAATCCATATACATCATATACCGGTTGATTCGTGAACATCAGTAATTCATAATAGCCTAAGGTAAAGTCAAATAGATATGGGGAAACCACCATGGTTTCTCTAGGAAAATCATCGAACTAGTTGGATGGACTGTGGGGGGCTCCACTGACTTTGTAGTATGTGTAACGTGTCAAGAGGATATCTAAATTACAACTAATAGTTCTGTTGTGCTTTATACTAATTACATGAATTCACATGATTACTAATTACATTCTTACATGTTGTCATATATAGTTTTAGTGTGATTATTCTAATGACATTGTTACATGCTATTAGATTCAATTAGCAATCATACATGATACACAACTAGACATGCCTACGTATCGATCAAAAACTTCCCCAGCTGACCGCAGCCACACCTTTGGAGGTCGGCTATTCCACTGTGCCAAGATGTAGTTCAACTGGCTTTCTGCCTGAGCTTCCCCTTGGACTTCTTCAGTTATAGCCTTTAGCCCAAAAAACCGGTTACAAATTGGCTTAAAAGCCCATTGAAGTGGTATATATCCAACCAGTTGCAGGAGTAATTTCATCCCATGGCTAAAACTGTTCAGGGACATGTTGGATTTGTTGAAGCCTGGGAATTCCCGAACGAAATGGAGGTTTCCAGCTGGGAAAATCATCTATGAATGATGGATTTCCATTGCCAGGTTTGATGACACCAGCGGGTAATGCTTTGTCAACTCGTACCTTGACTATCTTCAAAGATCATCATCCCTTGCTTGTGGTACAATGTGAGGCCTCCAAGATAGCTAAGTTGGTTTATAACTCCAATAACTATGGTTTATGGTACGCAAATAACTATAGTTACTGGGGCTTATAAACGAACAAACATCACTGGGGGGCCTCACATTGTAGTCAATTTCAAACGTGGTTTGATTACACTCATGCAGATCAACCAGTGGCTGGGTGTTTCACATCAGGGTGTCAGTGCCAAAGTCTTCCGTTCACCACCCTAAAAACAAAAAGGGATGCCGTACCGAGAAGTGTCCACAAAGCAAAGAAAAATCACTTGGCAACAGTGTCCAGAGATTTCAGGCTTCGATTTCAGTCTTTACATAGTGGGGCACCCAACATTTGGCTATGGGTCAATACCTATACATACCATTTTTAGTGGGATGAACATCCATTTACCAGCTATTTTGATGTTCACCAGGGGTACAAGGTTTTGACACACTGCCATTTTATGTTTGTTGGCTTGTATCCCAACCGAAACTATAGCTCTTGTAGTGAACTAAACCAACCCTCCCCAGGTGGGTTAAAAATTCTTCGAATTTGGGTGCCCCATGGTAGAACGGCCATGGATTTGTTCAGATTGGGATGGATATGATCTCCCATATTAGCTCACCATGGTGCTGGTATATAAAAACCAACAGAACTGCCCTTGTCCAAAATCACCAAGTTTTGTAGGTTTTTATATACCAGCACCGTGCTTCGCAGAAATCAACTCGGGAAATCCAGATGTACAGTACCCGGCCTGGTAATGACTGTTACATAGCTATTGAAAATGGCCCAGTCGAAATAGTGGATTTACCCAGCTAGATAGAAAATGGTGGATCTTTCCATAGTTATGTTAGTTAGTTTACCAGAGGGTACATTCTTCCAGTTCTTCCATAAAATTCCATCAAATATCCCATTTTATAGTATATATATATAGTTCGATCACAATTGTTCATGGTTTACCCCCATGAGATATCATGAAATCACCAGGTAACCAAGATCTATAAGATGTTCTAAGTATCAAATCATCCAAGTTGGGTGTCCAACTAATTATGACTCACATCAGAAATGATCATCTTTGAAAGGTCCCACAAGCCTGGAAACAAATGGGAACTGGGAACTGAAATCAGTTGAGTTTACAACTGGATCTTAAAACCAAAGTCTTGTTGGTTAGAGAAACCAACTCATTCAGTTTTTTTTCAAAAAAAAGTATTTGGGCCCTAAATCATCCAATTGTTTTTCGAGGTGTTCAATGTCAAACCATATTTAAGCCATGGCTTTAGGGCACCCCAACATTTTTGGGGAAACAAAATCAATGGTGTTCAATCACCACCCAGCAGTCTCGCCTCATCTAAAGTCTCCTTGTGAAACAATGGAAGAGGTGTCACCTGGTGCGGAGTCTCCGTGGCCACGCTGGAACTGGATTGTGAAAAAGTCTTGTCATGTTCAACTAGCAGTGATTAAACAAATATAGAATGGTTAAGTTTAATGTGGTTTAATGTGGTTTAATGTGGTTTAATGTGGTTTAATAATGGTCTGGTGGTGGTTGAGCCCTACCCCCTCTGAAAAATGATGGAGTGAAAGTCAGTTGGGATGATGAAATTCCCAATATATGGAAAAATAAAAAATGTTCCAAGCCACCAACCAGTGTATCTTTGTGTTGATTTAAAAAAAAACATGTGCTGAAAGACGAACAACGACAAAGGGAAGGGTTCTTCCATGCCCTTCCCAGAAATCCAATTCCAATTGTGAAACCTTTCCAGATTAGGGTCTAATCATTCACAATTTTACCCAGTACCAAATTTCACCTGCGCGGAAGGAAAAAACACATGGTACGCGTACAAATGATACTGTAGTAGTAATCAAATTGAAATACATCATGTTTGTCCAATTATGGTGTACAAGTAGGTCCCCTTACAATGTGTGAACGAGCGTTTCTAGTGCAGCTGGCCAATCATTTCTTCATAATTTGCCCAAATACAAGGCTACCCACAAAAGTTGTTCCGGCTGGTGGTTTCAACCCCTCTGAAAAATATGAGTTCGTCAGTTGGGATGATAATTATATGGACAAATAAAAAAAATGTTCCAAACCACCAACCACTTGTTGTGATATTACAGTAAACCGTCAATTTAGGGTCACCGAATCCAATGGTTTCTCATCATGTCCCTATTATTTTTAATGAAACGAAATGGGTTATAGCAAAATTTCAAACACACCCAAGTATCATATCAAGTTGGCTACTGTGTATAATATATATATATAGATAGATATAACATCATATATACATAACCTAATTATGTATATATATATATATAAATATATACATATATATATATATATATACGTATATATACACATAATTATACAATATATTATAATATTGTGTGTATCCCATTGCATCCATCAAGACACAAATCTCATCTCGCCTCACCCAAACCAGCCATCTTCGCACCATCAACCTGCGCCTGACTTTTCCAGCGGAGGGGAAGTCATTCACGTCAATGGAAACTGGTTGGTGGTATACCTATCCCTCTGAAAAATATGAAAGTCAGTTGGGATGATTATTCCCAAAATATGGAAAAATAAAAAATGTTCTTTTTTTTTGCTTTTTGCTCTGAGCGCACCGCTGCCGAAGTGGGTTACGCAGCTACGGCCGTACTGTTGCGGCTCAGAAACCCCTCAAAAGGTCAAGCGACTTCCCTGCTCCCGTGGCTGGCGCAGAAAGACCCTTTGCAAGAACACCTTCAATAGCTTGAAATTCCTGTTGCGCAAGGAAAAAACCAACAGAACCCCTGAAACAAGCTATCCAATGGCTCACTGGTCTGACTGTCGCCACGCTGCAACGCACTTTGGCATCACGGAAGTACTGTTGAAGCATGAGCCTGAAGTGCTTGACACGAACGCTCAAACGTGCATGGTTCGCCAGCTCGGCCTGGGTACCTTGTTCGGCCACCCATTTGCCGTCAACTTTGGCTATGTACCACGCGCCTTGATGAAGTCGGAAACTTTTACAACTGCAGGTAGGAGATCCATTGGAGCTGCTGCGAAACGTCTCTGATGGCCGAAATCCAGCTATGTACAGCTACCGCAAGGGAGGACCCGAAGAACTTCCGAAATGTCGGCCCTTGAAGTTCCAAGTTGAATGGGTCCTCCCAAATTAACGCCGGATGCTTGCTAGACAGGCGGACAGGACGTGGAGGCGGTGGGACAGGCTGAACACCGACAGGACCAGACTGAGTCCACAGGCGACCGACAGCGACAATGTGGGACCTGACATAGGCAGACACATAGTTGGACCTGCAGACTTGGTCGACATAGGCACTCCAGAGATTCCATACTGCTGGCGGTCGGGCTTGGTTGGCAGCGGCTGCTGCAGCATCAACTGCATTGTTTCCATCAACAAGCCATCGTTCAATGTCACTGTCGTAATGACTGCGATCTTCATGGGCCGGAACCTTGAGCAGGGCAATTCGACTGTGACCAAGTTGTGCGGCTTGTTCCTGCAGTTGGACAAGCAGGTCAGAATTTCTTCCATTGGGTCGAACACGACATCCATCACGCACATGCTTCTGAAACGCTCGGATTACACTCTGGCAGTCAGTCCAAATCCTGACACAGGAACGCGACATGGATGCATAACGGATAGCTGCAATGACTGCCGTCAACTCTGCCCTGTATGCGGTTTGGAGGAGACCAGACAGGGGTTGGGCAGCAATTGGTTTGTATTCGGCACGTTGGACCTGCAACCCAAACGGTGGAGCCTGGACAACGGCCCAACTCGCAACACGATAGGCACTCTCCCTAGGGAAAAGGCAGGACCCATCAGTGAACAAATCCAAAATGACACCGGGACTCGGAGGAACATGAAAGGATGGTTCACGAGGCAAGGAGTCAAGGTAACGGAACCAGTCATTCGCCAACGGGGAACGCAACGTCCATCCATGCTCAATGACAACTCGCGGCAACAAGTCCAGTTCAGTCAAGACATCGGAAGGGATATCATCACGCAGCTTCAGAGTGAAGGGACAAGTCCAAAGGCGATGATATGTTGAGTCCACGGCTCCACAGTGACCACACACTGCTGATCCTGATTCAGACCAATGCTGCACTTGTTCATTGGTGAAGGACGCCCCATGGAGGTGTTTTCTCAGGATTCCTTGCTCATATGGCTGGAACGATTGATATGCCTTGCGGGTAGCTGGCAAATCTACAAACTCAAAGCCTCGGAAGGATTTCCTGTGTTTGATAACTCCGGCCAAGACTTGCGTCCAAGTCCATTGCGCTCGCCAGATGAACTCTTGCAAAGGGCACTTCAGGAAGTCCAGAGGGCCAATAGCATCAGCAACCTTTGCATCCTCTGTAACTGTGAAACCAATCTTGTGGAGGCGTTGACCCAAAATTTCGGACAGGGAGTTGTGCTGAGGCTCCTCTGCATCGAACAAAGCTTCGGCCAAGTCAACTGCAACAGACTGAGTGTCCCCAAGGCTTCGTGCGTCACGCACTGTGTCGATGGCTGCAAACAAAGTGGGGTCAAAAGCGTCACCCTCTAAACTGCATTGCAATTCAGGATTGGCACCTGGCTTTTGGATGCGGAGTGCCTGCATGACTGAGGTCCGGAGGCTCTCAAAGTGCTTACGTCCAACCACCACTGCCGAAACTGCATGAAAGGCCCTCGGCCATGCAACCCGTTTTATCAGCGTGATCTTCTGTTGAAACGTGCATCGGCTGTTCGCAAGTTTCTGCCAGAAATCACCAAGTTGACGGAAACGCTCCACCTGATGAAAATTGGAAAGCTGTTTGGAAAATACCACGTGCGCCCCAAGCTCCCGGTTGCGTAGCTTGACAACAAATCCAGCGTCACGCAAAGCTCGTCGGCCTGGTCGGTCAGCAGCCCAGCAGTAGGATTTGGCAGGATCAAGGTCTAACTGCAAGGCAGCTGCAAACTCATCAACTGCTTGGCAAGCTTGGCGCATGTAGTCAACTGACTCCAAAATGACTCCCCAATTGTCCACGTATGAAACTGGCTTGAACAAGGTGTTGGCTGCGATCATCCATCTGTGGAAAAGTTGTGTCAAGGACAACATCGCCAAGCACGACAGCGCACAGCCCTCTGGGAATCCATTGCATGACCGTACTCCAGGAGAGTAGTTGCCTTGGATAACAAAGTGTCTCACGAAGCCATGGAGTGCACCGGCCCAAGCCGTAAGTGTTCCATGGTCAACTCCAAGCATCTTCATGGCCGCGAAAGCCGGGTGTCTCGGCAGGATATTGAAAGCTTTGACAATATCTGCTGAAAAACCACATGCTCCTCGGGCTCCAAGATGTGCCATCTCGACCTGTGCCAACATATGTCTCCATACCATTGCAGCTCGACCGCCCACTGTATTGCCACAAAGGAGGGGATCAACCACATCGCTAACCAGTTTAAGCCAGTGGCGAGCAGCAATTGAGGACCAAGTCCTGTAAAAGTTGGAGAACACCGTGATTGGTCTAAAATGGCTGACCTGGGTGGGGTCATCAACTTTTGCCAATGATCTGACATATCCCTTCAGGGTTTGGTCAGGCCAGCACCCAGAGGAACAGATCAGCCCATAGGCACGGCACAGCAACTCCAGGTCCTGAGGTTTCAGCGCAAGAACATCAGATCTGCTCACTCCATCAAGGCTGGTAGCCGCATGCTTTGACTTGCTCTTCAGTGTCCGGGAAACTGCCGCTGCAGAGATGTCAGGTGGATCCGCAACAACAGGCTGAAGTTGAGTTCTGGCAAATTCCACTATTTGGTCCCATTGAGACGCTGGAATGTCTGCATGGCGATTCCAGAGCTTGGCCCATTGCTGTTCAAAGGCATCAAAGAGGTCAGGAAGTCGTCCAACCAGCTTTTTCTGAGTCAAGGTGTCACCAGGTTGGATATCATGGCAAGACTCCAACCACAGCTTATCACTGTCACGGCAAATCACAGTTAAGGGCTGCCCATTGTGCAAGATTGGAACATCAGGATACCATGACACTGCCTCAGTAGTAACCACGGCACATTCTTCTTCATCAAGTTCTGCAACCAGGGCATTTTGCTGCAACGCAAGTGAGTCCACCTGAGCTGGTGCGTTCCGTTTCACCGTCCTGTACATGGCATGGGCATCTGAGGCTTTCTGCAAACGATTGGCATGGGACCGAGCTTTGTTGAGAGCAGTCTCAAGCTGAGAGAATTCCAAATCAATTCCAGCCAAAAAGAGAAGAGCAACAGCATGACATGGAGGGTCAGTAGGGACAAATGCAGGCTCGCCGATACCCAAGGCACGATTCCCCCACCAGACTGAGAAGCTAGGGATAAATCCACGAGCTTGCAAAATGGCAGACCACAGGCGAAATTGGTGTGCTCTGTGAGCGGCAGTGGGAAGCTCAGAGGCACACAGGCGGACATAGGATTGCAAACGTCGGTGTTGTTTCATCCATTGAGCATGTTGCAGACATGATCCAAGGAACGCAGGTTGACGATCCCCTGGCCTACTGGTTTTCAGCGGCGCCAGATTGGCAAGGCGACGGACAGGCTGAAGTTGTTGGGCTCGGCCATGCATGGTACGGATGATTGGCTTCTGCTTCCTGGTCCTCGCTCGCATGTTGGAGGCTTCCACTCCCTTCCAAAAATTGGCATAGTCTTGCGTGAGGTGTCCAGGATTTTCAAAAAGAGGCAAGCCAACAGGTGAACGCAAGTCCGGCGGTTCCCATTCCATAGGATCAGGAATAGGCCAAGCAAATCGGTAAACTTCATCATCACCTCCCCTGAACTTCCCAATCAGATATGAGTGATCAGCAACAACTTCCTCATCCAGGCTGCAGGAAACAAACAAGCTGGCCAGCTCACGGGATACAAAAAGGAAATCACGGCGTGTCTTGTCTCGGCACGTTGCTTGAGGCAAACGCCCAGTGCGCTCGGCAGCAAGATCCTGGATGTCCTGGTATCCGAGCCTGTGCATGACTTCAATGGTAGCCAGCCGATCCAAGTCATGGTTGAAATCACCTGCAATGTAGCGAGGGCCAGGCGTCTGTTCGATACGGTCAAGTGCTTGCGCAAGGAGCTCATTGGTGACTTCTCTACCTTTGGGATGTGTCGGTCCAGTGGGGGTCCCATACACAACAACACCTGAAATCCAAAGACCATGAGCACAAAAGGATGTACAAACCAAACGGCCTGAATTGTACATGCAGGAAGGCCATGAGTGGGGCAAGCGACGCACAGGAAATTTTGCCATGACCCCAACGCCAGACCATTGCCCAATGTCACTTGCTTCAGAACGGGGCGCAATTGGACACCCATGTTGAAAGGACTTGTAAGCTGGATTAGATGTGCGCACATTATTCCAGAAAACTTTCAAGCCAATCTGGGTCAGGTGTGTTTCAGAAAACAAACAAACGTCATAATGGCTGTCGGCAAACCCAAAAGCTCTGGTGTTCAGACCACTAAGGTTGG